CTTCAAGACATTTTCTATGCATACGGTTGGCCATCACAGATTGTACGACCCATTTGGAAGGTCAAACGAGCTCCGAAGGGAGCATACCCCTCATTTCGTAGATTTTTGTGTGCTATAGCACACTATTTTTTGGATGATCCGGATTCCGACGTCAAAAATGCCAAATTTTTTCGTGGACGTCCGTCAAGACATTGTCTATGCATAAGGTTGGCCATCACGGCTTGTACGACCCATTTGGAAGGTCAAACAAGCCCTGAAGAGAGCATACCCCTCATTTCGACGATTTTCGTGTGCTATAGCACACCATTTTTTGGGTGATCCAGATTTCGACGTCAAAAATGCCAAATTTTTCTGTGGACGTCCAGCAAGACCTTGTCTATGCATACGGTTGGCCATCACGGCTTCTTTGACCCATTTGGAAGGTCAAACGAGCCCCGAAGCGAGCATACCCCTCATTTCGACGATTTATGTGTGCTATAGCACACCATTTTAAGTTGATCCGATTTCTGACGTCAAAAATGCCAAATTTTTTCGTGGACGTCTGTCAAGACCTTGTCTATGCATACGGTTGGCCATCACGGCTTGTCCGACCCATTTGGAAGGTCAAACGAGCCGTGAAGCGAGCATACCCCTCATTTCAACGATTTCGTGTTTTATTGCACACCATTTTTTGGGTGATCCGGGTTCCGATGTGAAATTTTTTTTTGTGGACGTCCGTAAAGACCTTGTCTATACATACGGTTGGCCATCAAGGCTTGTCTGACCCATTTTGAAGGTCAAACGAGCCCCGAAGCGATCATAGCCCTCATTTTGACGATTTTCGTGTGCTATAGCACACCATTTTTTGGGTGATCTAGATTCCGACGTCAAAAATGCAAATTTTTTTGTGGACGTCCGTCAAGACCTTGTCTATGCATACGGTTGGCCATCATAATTTTTCCAACCCATTTGGAAGGTCAAACGAGCCCCGAAGCGAGCATACCCTTCATTTCGACGATTTTCGTGTGCTATAGCACACCATTTTTTGGGTGATCCGGATTCCGACGTCAAAAATGCCAAATTTTTTCGTGGACGTCCGTCAAGACCTTGTCTATGCATACGGTTGGCAATCACGGCTTGTCCGACCCATTTGGAAGGTCAAACGAGCCCCGAAGCGAGCATACCCCTCATTTCGATGATTTTCTTGTGCTATAGCACACCATTTTTTGGGTGATCCGGATTTCGACGTCAAAAATGCCAAATTTTTTCGTGGACGTCCGTCAAGACCTTGTCTATGCACACGGTTGGCCATTATGGCTTGTCCGACCCATTTGGAACGTCAAACAAGCCCCGAAGCGAGCATACCCTTATTTCGACGATTTTCGTGTGCTATAGCACACCATTTTTTGGATTATCCGGATTCCGACGTCAAAAATGCCAAATTTTTTGTAGACGTCCGTCAAGACTTTGTCTATGCATACGGTTAGCCATCACGGCTTGTCCGACCCATTTGGAAGGTAAAACGAGCCCCGAAGCGAGCATTCCCCTCATTTCGACGATTTTCGTGTGCTATAGCACACCATTTTTTGGGTGATCCGGATTCTAACGTCAAAAATGCCAAATTTTTTTGTGTACGTCCGTCAAGACCCTGTCTATGCATACGGTTGGCCATCACGGCTTGTACAACCCTTTTGGAAGGTCAAACGAGCCCCGAAGCGAGCATATCCCTCATTTCGATGATTTTCGTGTGCTATAGCACACCATTTTTGAGGTGTTCCGGATTTCGATGTCAAAAATGCCAATTTTTTTTGTGGACGTCCGTCAAGACCTTGTCTATGCATACGGTTGGCCATCACGGCTTGTTCGACCCATTTGTAAGGTTAAACGAGCCCCGAATCGAGCATACCCCTCATTTCGACGATTTTCGTGTGCTATAGCACACCATTTTTTGAGTGATCCGGATTCCGACGTCAAAAAAGCCAAATTTTTTTGTGGACGTCCGTCAAGACCTTGTCTATGCATACGGTTGGCCATCACGGCTTGTCCGACCCATTTGGAAGGTCAAACGAGCTCCGAAGCGAGCATACCCTCATTTCAACGATTTTCGTGTGGTATAACACACCATTTTTCGGGTGATTCGGATTCCGACGTCAAAAATGCCAAATTTTTTCGTGGACGTCCGTCAAGACCTTGTCTATGCATACGGTTGGCCATCACGGCTTGTTCGACCCATTTGTAAGGTCAAACGAGCCCCGAAGCGAGCATACCCTTCATTTCGACGATTTTCGTGTGCAATAGCACACCATTTTTTGGGTGATCCAGATTTCGACGTTAAAAATGCCAAATTTTTGCGTGGACGTCCGTCAAGACCTTGTCTATGCATATGGTTGGCCATCATGGCTTGTTCGACCCATTTGTAAGGTCAAACGAGCCCCGAAGCGATTATACCCCTCATCTCGATGATTTTCGTGTGCTATAGCACACCATTTTTTGGGTGATCCGGATTCCGACGTTAAAAATGCCAAATGTTTTTGTGGACATCCGTCAAGACCTTGTCTATGCATATGGTTGGACATCACGGCTTGTCCGACCCATTTGGAAGGTCAAACGAGCCCCGAAACGAGCATACCCCTCATTTCGACGATTTTCGTGTGCTATAGCACACCATTTTTTGGGTGATCCGGATTTCGACGTCAAAATTGCCAAATTATTTTGTGGACGTCCGTCAAGACCTTGCCTATGCATACGGTTGGCCATCACGGCTTGTCCGACCCATTTGTAAGGTCAAACGAGCCCAAAGCGAGCATACCCCTCATTTCGACGATTTTCGTGTGCTATAGCACACCATTTTTTGGGTGATCCAGAATGCGACGTTAAAAATGCCATTTTTTTGTGGACGTCCGTCAAGACCTTGTCTATGCATATGGTTGGCCATCATGGCCTGTTCGACTCATTTGTAAGGTCAAACGAGCCCCGAAGCGAGCATACCCCTTATTTCGACGATTTTCGTGTGCTTTAGCACACCATTTTTTGGGTGATCCAGATTCCGACGTTAAAAATGCCAAATTTTTTCGTGGACGTCCGTCAAGACCTTGTCTATGCATACGGTTGGCCATCACGGCTTGTTCGACCCATTTGGAAGGTCAAACGAGCCCCGAAGCGAGCATACCCCTCATTTCGACGATTTTCGTGTGCTATAGCACACCATTTATTGGGTGATCAGGATTCCGACGTCAAAAATGCCAAATTTTTTCGTGGACGTCCGTCAAGACCTTGTCTATGCATACGGTTGGCCATCACGGCTTGTCCGACCCATTTGGAAGGTCAAACGAGCCCCGAAGTGAGCATACCCCTCATTTCAACAATTTTCGTGTGCTATAGCACACCATTTTTTGGGTGATCCGGATTCCGACATTAAAAATGCCAAATTTTTTCGTGGACGTCCGTTAAGACCTTGTCTATGCATACAGTTGGACATCACGGCTTGTCCGACCCATTTGGAAGGTCAAACGAGCTCCGAAGCGAGCATACCCCTCATTTCGACGATTTTTGTGTGCTATAGCACACCATTTTTGAGGTGATCCGGATTCCGACGGCAAAAATGCCAAATTTTTTCGTGGACGTCCGTCAAGACCTTGTCTATGCATACGGTTGGCCATCACGGCTTGTTCGAACCATTTGTAAGGTCAAACGAGTCCTGATGCGAGCATACCCCTCATTTCGACGATTTTCGTGTGCTATAGCACACCATTTTTTGAGTGATCCGGATTGCGACATTAAAAATGCCAAATTTTTGCGTGGACGTCCGTCAAGACCTTGTCTATGCATACGGTTGGCCATCACGGCTTGTCCGACCCATTTGGAAGGTCAAACGAGCCCCGAAGCGAGCATACCCCTCATTTCGACGATTTTTGTGTGCTATAGCAGACCAGTTTTTGGATGATCCGGATTTCGAAATCAAAAATGTCAAATTTTTTCGTGGACGTCTGTCAAGACCTTTTCTATGCATACGGTTGGACATCACGGCTTGTCCGACCCATTTGGTAGGTCAAACAAGCCCCGAAGCGAGCATACCCCTCATTTCGACGATTTTCGTGTGCTAGTGCACACCATTTTTTGGGTGATCCGGATTTCGACGTCAAAAATGCCAAATTTTTTCGTGGACGTCCGTCAAGACCTTGTCTATGCATACGGTTGGCCATCACGGCTTGCCCGACCCATTTGGAAGGTCAAACGAGCCCCGAAGCGAGCATATCCCTCATTTCGATGATTTTCGTGTGCTATAGCACACCATTTTTTGGGTGATCCGGATTCCGATGTAAAAAATGCTAATTTTTTTCGTGGTCGTCTGTCAAGACCTTGTCTATGCATACGGTTGGCCATCACGGCTTGTCCGACCCATTTGGAAGGTCAAACGAGCCCCGAAGCGAGCATACCCCTCATTTTGACGATTTTCGTGTGCAATAGCACACCATTTTTTGGGTGATCCGGATTCCGACGTCAAAAATGCCAATTTTTTTGTGGACTTCCGTCAAGACCTTGTCTATGCATACGGTTGGCCATCACGGCTTGTCCGACCCATTTGGAAGGTCAAACGAGCCCCGAAGCGAGCATATCCCTCATTTCGACGATTTTCGTGTGCTATAGCACACCATTTTTTGGGTGATCCGGATTCCGACGTCAAAATTGCCAAATTATTTTGTGGACGTCCGTCAAGACCTTGTCTATGCATACGGTTGGCCATCACGGCTTGTCCGACCCATTTGGAAGGTCAAACGAGCCCCGAAGCGAGCATACCCCTCATTTCGATGATTTTCATGTGCTATAGCACATCATTTTTCGGGTGATCCGGATTCCGACGTCAAAAATGCCAAATTTTTTCGTGGACGTCCGTCAAGACCTTTTCTATGCGTATATCCGTTAATATAAAAAAAAATTATGCTCTAATTTTTGCAAGAAAAAGACATCAATATCTCAAAAATATAACGAAAGGTAATTCGAAGTTATATTTGTTATTTCTCTCTTTTATTACTCTCTAATACGGAAAGCAAATTATAACCCAAAAGGAAAAAAAGAGTTTCCGGCCGATAGTCCCTTTTATCAGTGTAGGAGTTCCGGCGTATATACAGTCCCTCTATAGCTCTCTCCGATGAGGTAAAGTGTCAATTCTATATCATTATTCTGCTGAATTTGTCTAATTTTTTTGTTGTTGGAGAAGAAAGCTGGTTTTGATAGTGACACTAATGAATCAAATCCATTGGGAACTGATTATTTTGCAATATTTCATTTCCTTACTGTATTTTGTTTTTACTCATCTGAGGTCTATCGGAAACAATAGGAGAGGGCTATGTAGACACCATCTTCCCCAAATCCCACTTGAGTATGTTGTTGTCATGGGGTTTTCTTTACTTTTTCTGTATTGCTCCAAAATTTTGGAGAAGTACTCTATTGAATCTGATGAAGGTGTTAAAAGAAATCAATTTTTGAAGTTGTTAAAAACATAACACAGTGAAAACAACAGATTCATATAGTGAAAAATATAAGAAAGTTGTTATTTTACATAGGGTAAAAACCCCGCTCCTGTGCAATAGTTCACAAACCACATAGGAGAGTAACCCAGCTCGGCCCAGAAGGCAAAGCACATAGGAGACTAACCCGCATTAGGCAAGCTTGGTGTGACGAGTTTGATCCAGAAGGCAAACCCCAGTGCGACGAGCTAGACCCAGAAGGCAAACCCCTTGCTTTCGTTGACAAGGGGTTTCAAACTTGAGACCTCCAACATGGAAGTCCCAAGCTCAAACCGTTGGGCCACCTCGAAGGGTGTGGCATCTGTTTTAATTTGATTGACCTATTTTACTTTTTAGTTCGTTTAAAAAAAGAATGACCTAAGCAACTTTTTATTTTCAACTTTTCGTAGGATAGGTTTAAAACGACAAGATTAAATGACATTTTAGTACATTTGATAGTTTTTTAGTTTTAGACCAAAATATTTAGAAGTTATTTTAACTTTCTTAGACATCGTGCCTAGTAAGTCAGGTCAGTCAACTTGAAACTGAGAGAGTAATGAGTATTAGAAAGAAATGATTTGCGTCGAACAAAATGGATATAGGGGATTCATATAGTCGAATACAACTAGTTCGATATTAAGACAAAGTTGATTAGTTTACTGGCTCATTGATGATTGGTTCAATTGCTTATGCTTTATTCATTCTCACTAAGAGACCTGTTTTTGAGGTATGTATACCTTCCACCGCTCTCTTAGCTTTGCATGCGAATTCAGGCCTGTGACTGACTCCCTTATTGATTCTAGTGATTAATCACTGTGGTTATCCATATAAATAATGCTCTTCCACTTCTTTGAAAGGTTTTGCTTACTGTGTTTCATTGCAATTGGACGTCCTCCTTTGTCAAGAAACTTAACAGGATTGTGTCCCACTCATGCACATTGTATAAAAATTCTTCTAGGAATTTGTTTAATATACATTCTCCTTTTATATTTAAGTAATTTGATTCATTCTGTGTTATTTGGCAGATGGAATCATATGAATCAAAGCAGTCCTCAAGTTGCAGGTTAGAATGCTTTAGTTGAACTTGTAGTCTGGAGTCACATGAGTCGAAACACTACCTCAAGTCACCAACTGGACCAGAACTATGTTTGCTACTTGTGGTGCTCATCGATTCTCCAAAAAGCTTCAGCCTTTTCAGGGGTTTCCTCTCAAGAGCTGTTGTTGGTTTAGCAGAACTATAATTAACCATGTACGTTCCTTTACGCAATCCAAACAAAGGAGACCTGTACAACGAGTTAATAGATTGCCGAGCAAGTCTACCAAATCTGTTCCGAAGCAAGACATAGATCTCCCTAAAGTTTTCATGAGGGATACAGTAACAAGAATATCACATATGCTGAGATTTTCAACTTGGGATTCTGCTCAAGAGCAGTTGATGGAACTTCCCATAAAATGGGATTCCTACACAGTTAATCAAGTTCTCAAGACCCATCCTCCTATGGAGAAAGCCTGGTTGTTTTTCAGTTGGGCCTCTAAGTTGAAAGGCTTTAAGCATGACCAGTTTACCTACACGACTATGTTGGATATATTTGGGGAAGCTGGGAGGATTTCATCCATGAACTATATCTTTCAGCAGATGCAAGACAAAGAAATCAAGATAGATGCAGTGACGTATACATCCCTTCTTCACTGGCTTTCCGACCATGGGGACATTAATGAGTCAATTAAATTATGGCAGGATATGAAAGATAAAGGATGTGCTCCTAATGTTGTTTGCTACACTGCATACATGAAAGGTTTATTTGATCATAATCGAGTTAAGGAAGGAGCCAAGATATACAAGGAGATGCTTCAATCTGGTTGTTCTCCCAACTGCCACACATACACTGTCCTTATGGAGCATCTTGCTAAATCTGGTGAGTGATTGGCTTGTTCCTTTTTATTATAGTTGGGAACTTTGAAGTAGCTCAAGTATTTTACTTAAGAAAGAACTAGCTCAAAATTTCCTTCTTACATGCAAAATGCTTATAACAGTTCATAAAGTTATGTGAACCACTTCTTAAGAAGGCACCATTTTTAAAAAAAAGTGTCCATCAAACTTGTGCATAATTAAGCTTATCCAACATTTCCCTTAGTTGTGAATAGTTGGTGTTCTTATCTTCTGAAGTCTGTAAAGCACAAGTACATGGATTTGTCTATGGCTACATCAGTTCAAATATGGTACTTTAAGGTATATGAACTTATGAAGGATCCATACAGCATATTCTGAAGCTACTCTCATATCCTCCTTGAGCTATAAAGTGTGGGGAACTGACCCAGTTTGGACTCGTGGTGTGAGCAGAGACGCTAGGTAGTGTTTTGCAAGACATTTGTTGCTTGAGTAGTGGCCATATTCAATCAGTGATATAGCTTTCTTTTGTTAGGAGAGTGGTGCTTAGGTTAAACTGGTTTAAGAGTGACAGATGACTAAGAGAGACATTGGTATCAGAATGTATGTTGTCCATGTAATATTTGTTGCAACTGAAGAGGCTAAGAACCTTGTCACTACGTTGTAAACTTGGAGAGAAGATAAAAATCTAAGAAACATTTGTACACTCGAAGGTATATATAGAAATTAGTTCAGGACGGTCTTATTATGGACAAGAACCTAATTGCATCATCTAAAGCACCATCAGTTGAGAAAGTCAAACCAAGGCCAAGCCAACAAAAATATGTTCTGCAGACTTCTGATTTGCTTTTTTTTTTAATTGTTCAAATGTGAAAGTAAGTGAACACTCTGCATACTGTTTTTCATATAAAGGAGTGCTAAGATTTTCTTGTCAATCATTTTTGACTTTCTAAAATATGTTGTAGCTTATTACAGACCTTTATCTGTGCCTAGGAATTAACACAAACACCTAGAAATTCTTCCTTGGTAAAAGAGTTGTGTGACTTCAAACTAGTAGGATATAACATATTGACATTATTTGTCGGGGATGTTGGTCGACCCATTTTTCTAATCAAAGTGTTTGATGTTTTTAACTGATGGTGACAACTTTCTTTGCGGTTTGTTTTTTACTTTTACTTTTGCCTAATGGAAGCTGATTATAATTTTAACCCAGAAAAAAGGAAAAAAATGAAACGAAAATTCCTCCTTTATGTGGTAGATGTGTTTGTTTCGCTTCTACCATTAAATTGTCTATAGATAACACTTCCTTCATATGACACCATTTTATTTGTATGAATTGTCTGGAAAACTGTTGCCCTGTATTATACTATGCGTGAATGCAATTTTAAAGACCATATAGTGTCAAAACTTAAAATGGAAGCTTCAATATTTTGACTTGTAGAAAACTTTGCCAAAAATTGAATTGTAATAATTTGGCATTCTAAGTTCTCTTTGCTATCTATAAAATTAAGTAATTATGATCTTGAATTTTAGACCATTGTCACTTCGAATTTTTGACAACTATATTATGATTCCGTGCTATTAAGAATCTCATCTGTAGATGTACCATAATTGGTTTTCAGGAAAATTTGATGGAGTTCTCGAGATTTTCAGTAAAATGCAAGATGCAGGGGTCCAACCAGATAAAGCTACATGCAACATCTTAGTGGGAAAATGCTGCAAAGCTGGGGAAACACAGGCAATGATGAAAATTCTTCACTACATGAAGGAGAATTTTCTTGTTCTGCGTTATTCTGTCTATCAAGAGGCTTTCCAGACGTTGAAGATGGCTGGGGTGAGTGATCGGCTGCTTAGGGATGTTAACCGTCATTTGTCCTTACAAAATTTCAACCAAGATCAGATTGACGAATCTGATGGAATTGCTGAAAGTAGTTGCTTTACTTTGGATGATAGGATGGTTTTGTACTTATTGAATAAAAAAAGTCTTCTTGCTGTTGATTACCTACTAGATGGCTTGATGAATAAGCGTCTCAAATTGTATCCTGGAATAGTTTCAACTGTAGTTGAGGTAAACTGTAGCTGTGGTAGAGTAAATGGCGCCTTTTTGGCCTTCAAAGTCAGTATGAAATTGGGCATAACCATTGACAGAATTACGTACCTCACCATGGTTGGAGAACTTATTAGAGCAAATTCCTTTTCAAGGGTTGTGGACATTGTTGAAGTAATGGTTGGGGCAGGCCTGTCATTAGGGTCAGAATTAACTGCTCTTCTGATTCATCGGCTTGGCTGCGCTAGAGCGCCTGCTTCTGCTGAAAAGTTATTTAGCATCTTACCTGATCAGCAGAAGAGTATTGCTGTATATACTGCTCTAATAAACACCTACTTCACCTTTGGGAATGCTGATAAAGGGCTTGAAATATTCGAGACCATGAGAAAGCAAGGGATAAATCTGGCATTAAGTACTTATTGTGTCCTATTGAATGGTCTTGAAAGAAATGGATTATTCGATAAACTACAATCTTATAGGAAAGAAAAAAAAAGATTTGAATCTGAAAGCTGCAGTAGGGAAATGTCAATGGAGGAAACAATCTGCGATCTTCTTTTTGCTGGAAATTTTGACAGTTGAGATGCTAGATATGGGTATCTGGAAACTTTTCATGATTGTGGAGTATTTGGAGTACAAATTAGTTGTTGGTACGTTGCTTGTGCTGTCTATTGTGTGTTTGAATTTATAGAAATGGGGTTTGCTTTGTATGGAATCCCGCATACTGAAACAGAATGCGGGATAGGTAATCTCGTATGGATCATATTAAAACGTTCTCTCTTTGACAAGTTCAGCTTATCTTTAGAAGCTGTAGCAGCTGGAATGATTGGTCAAATGGGGCTTGACAGCTCGATTATTCTCCTGCAACATTATGGCCTTAAAGAAGTTTATTTTCTAACTCTACTTCTTGAATATGGTGGAAATAAGTTAATAGGAATGTAGTTTGACTAATATATTGCTTATTAACTCTTTTAATTGTTTTATATTTATGTGCCTCTAAATTCTAGAATAGTTAATACTAAGGGCTGTCCTGCAGGAAACACGGGTAGAGTATTTCAGGGGAAAAGATTTTGTCGCTTTTGTGAGAAATCATTCAGAACTTAAAGACATACTAGAGTCAGATAAAGGTTTGGAGCCTGAAGATATTGCCAAAACGCTGCTTCAAAGAATCTTTAGTCCGCTGTGAACGTGTGGTGAAAACTGTTCGACCTGGGAAGAAAAAACTATCTCCTTGGCCAGCACATTTAGAGATATACCATGTGAGTATCTTTCTTGATTCAGTCAACTATTGGGGATGTTAAAAAGTTCCTGACTTTATGTTTAATTTTATCTTTACTAGTCTGTGGTTCTGCTGAGACATATATTTATGGTCCTACCATATCCGTGACCAATGAGTATGACATAGATGTGGATCCTCTATACATTTCAAAATACAGTGAGAACATCCTAAAAGTTGTACATGCTATTTGGGTGAGTGTATCTGTTATTTACACCACCTGAGACCTTATTACATAGTTTGGTGTTTCCATGGATTTATTATGCTTTGATCCTAACTTGAACTTTGCATATGGACTTAGAGAATGGATGAATGGTAGGGTTACTGAGCTAACTCTTGTGCTAGAAGAACCACAAAAAGAATAGTCTGTTATTCAGTTAAGTATCTGTTTCTTGTTACCCTTTTTTCCTCACACTTGTTATTCAATTAATTTTTTTGTATAGAGTTGTATCATGCACTGTGATGTGGCTACTCTAAAACTTGAAAGCATTACAGCTCTTGGCTAAAATATTGTGGCATAAGAGGGATTCGTCTTATAATATAGCAAGTTGATGGGTTTCTTCAATCATCAAATACACTGTTGGCTTCACACTTATCATGTCCGTATCACGATTTTGAATACATATTAGCTAAGTTTATATATATAGCTTACTACTAAAGCAACGATGTTTGTGCTTGCAGTAAGAGCTTTAATCATTGGTGCTATTTGGGTACTTTCCTGAAATCGTGTATGGTTTTTCCCCAACATTCTGGCCGAGGAAGCAACACTGCAAGATTTGTTCCAAGTTTGGCCTCAGAAGGATGAAGTCGAGAGACCTAAGTGGACAGCAAGGCTTTTCTACGCAATAGTAGCCGTGGTTGTTATTTTGCTCTTGATGAGGCTGCACGAACCAGGTTTGCTTGCTTGTATATAACAAAAACCAAGCCGCATATTTTGAGCTTTCATGAAACCAAATCCCTATGAAGCTAGATGCCGAATCTCCAAAAAGACGAACTTCAGTAGCAGATAATCTGCAATTTTGTGTCATATTTTGAGAATCAATAACCTAAAATCCCAAGAGCCAGTAATTCGGAGGCATCTTCTCTCATTCTATGAATACAATTCTCTCTTTCTATGGCGCTGAGAAAGAATTCCTTTATTATCAACTGTTGCAGGTATCAGAAACGAGTTTCCAACATTATCGATGATGTGCTCGAGTGGTCTCCTAGACAGGATCTGTCAGGGATGAAGGGATACCGTTGTCAATGTTACCGACTCAAATGATAATGCAACTGATGATAGCAAAACTGGCAGTGAAAAAAGTGTTTTCGCAGACGACTTAGACGAAGAAACCGATCTGAAAGAAGAGAGTGAGTATGTTATTGGAAACTTAAAAGATTGTGTAATTTATATAAATGTTGAAACATAAGCTTCAAGAGTTAATTTTTTTCTTATTTTGTATCAAGTTTTATCCTCTTTGTTAATTCTCTTTGTGGTGAGGTATATTGCAATACTCAAATCTCTTCATTCTCTCCTTTTCCTTTAAAGGTTAGAGTTTAATAATTTATCAATTTTTTAGCGAGCGGATTTTACCTCTTTATGGGCTATATCCCTTGCTTGTCCCCCATATCCCTTTCAGTAAGGGTTGTCGTTGTCTCTAGGAATCTTCTTCTGAATTCTTTAATTTTTTTTGTATTTTATGTTTATTGATTGTTAGTTATTACTTGAATTTGGGATTTTTTATTTTAGGATTAGTTTGAAGTTGAGATTATAGGACTAGTTTAAATTTGAGATATTTAAGGACTAGGTTGAACTAAGGTGTTTAAGGACTTTATTTGAAATTGAAATTTTAGGACTAGTTTGATTTCGAGATTTTAGGACTAGCTAGTTTGAATTAGAACATTTTAGGACTAGCTAGTTTGAATTTAGGTATTTTAGGACTTGTTTGTATTTGGAATCTCAGGACTAGTTTGAATTAGGGTATTTCTTGAGTTTGATATTGAAGAAATACTCTAATTCAAACTAGTCTTAAGATCCCAAATTCAAACAAATCCTACATACGTTGACTCAAGCTAGCTAGTCCTAAAATACTCTAATTCAAACTGGCTAGAAATTTCAAAATCGAATTTGTCCTAAAATTTCAAATTCAAACAAGTCCTAAAATACCTTAACTTAAACTAGTCCTAAAATTTCGAATTCAAACTAGTCCTATAATCTCGAATTCAAACTAATCCTAAAGTTCAAACTAGTCCTAAAACATCCTATTTCAACTATTCCTAAAATTACATATTCAAACTAATCCTAAAATCAAAATCCCAAATTCAAACAATAACTAACAGTCGATCATTCAAACTAACAATCAATAAACACAAATTTAATAAACTAACTAACAAAATCAATATTACTCAGATTGAAAAAACAATTGACGAATTATCAAACCTTAACCTTTAAAGGAGAAGAAGATAATGAAGAGCGGGGAGCAGGCAGCGGTGGCGCGACTGGTTTAGGAGAGAATGAGGGGAAGAAAAATGAGAAGAATACAATCTAATTTTCCCAAACATTTTATAAAAAGCGGCAGACAACGTCTATTTTTTCGTCATTTTTTTTTATAAAAATGTTTGATCAATATTTTGACTAAAAACGACGGATAAACGACACTGTCAGTCACTTTTTAAAAATGTTTGACCAATTATTTGACCAAAGTAGATTAATCAAGATAACCCAAAAAGATAAATCTGCAATTAGATGATAATGTTAAATTATGAACTATAGAAACATCTTCACTTATAAATTGCCAATAGAAAATTTATATCATGAGGATACAAATTTAAAATTACTCTTATCTATTTCTTATAAAAAAATTATACCAAGAAAAAAAAATATAAGAAAAATCAATACTTGAAAATCTAAATATATGATGAATTTTGCAATATCTACCTAAAAATAAGAAGAAAAAAATCACACTACAATAAACCTTCACTATGTTGATGTCTTCACCTATGGTAATGGTAGATATATATACTACAATTTTTGTGTTGACCGGGCGGAGAAGTGAATTTATTTTGGGTAATTTCATAACTTGATTATTAAATAAAAGTATAGAATACGATAAATATAATTTTTTAAAGTTAAAGATATTTCAATAAAAAAATGATTAGTGGTAGATATACTATAATTTTGCATTGACCAGACGTAGAAGTGGGTTCACTTTGGGTGATTTCGTAACTTGGTTACCAAATAAAAGTATTCTGAATGCGACAAATGTGATTTTTCAAAGTCAAAGATATTTTAATAAAAGTATCATTATTTGTAGATATATTATAACTTTTGCATTGGCCGGACGGAGAAGCGGATTCACTTTGGGTAATTTCATAACTTGATTTAAAAAAAGGTATTTTTGAGTGACATGTAATTTTTGCAAGTCAAAGATATTTCGATAAAATTATGATTATTGGTATATATATATATATATATATTACTTTTTCGTTGACCGGACAGAGAAATAAATTCACTTTGGGTAATTTCATAACTTGATTAAAAAAAAGTATTTCAAATGCGACAAATGTGATTTTCTAAAGTCAAAGATATTTCAATAAAATTATGATTATTGTTAGATATGTATATATAACTTTTGCATCGACCGGACGGAGAAGTGGATTCACTTTGGGTAATTTCATAACTTGATTATTAAAAAAAAGGTATTTCGAATGCGATAAATGTGATTTTTTAAAATCAAAGATATTTCAATAAAAAAAATTGATTAGTGGTAGATATACTATATATTTTGCGTTGACCGGATGTAGAAGTGGATTCATTTTGGGCAATTTTGTAACTTGATTACCAAAAAAAAGTATTTTGAATGCGATAAATACGATTTTCTAAAGTCAAAGATATTTTAATAAAATTGTGATTAGTGGTAGATATACTATTACTTTTGCATTGGCGGACAAGTAGATTCACTTTGGGTAATTTCGTAACTTGATTATCAAAAAAGTGTATTTCAAATGCGACAAATATGATTTTCTAAAATCAAAGATATTTCAATAAAAAAATATGATTAATGGTAGATATATATACTTTTTTTTTTTTGCATTAGTTGGAAGGAGAAGTGAATTCACTTTGAGTAATTTCACAACTTTGTTACCAGAAAACGTATCGAACGCGATAAATGTGATTTTCTAAAATCAAAGATATTTCTATAAAAATAATTTTATCTTATAACCAAAAAATAAATAATCATTTTATTAGTAAACATTAGTAAGGTTTTGTACCGTCAAGTTTTTTGTTTCAATTTCCAAACTATCAGGTGTTAACTTTTCATACCTAAACACACTTCAACTATCAGTTTATCGAAACATTTGGTGATGGTTGGCGATAAACACACCTCAAATGTTTATCGAAACACACATCCGAACAAAATACAGACTACTTGCAGATGGTAGCATATCAGCAGACCATATGAACTTCAACATCACTAACAATGTGCACACAAACTCGATAGTAAACGGTGATGTTCAGACCAACTTGTACGAATTTCGTCACAATGTGTTGTACTTGGATCAACAAATTCACAAGAAATAGGACATTACAACCACTGTCATCGAATTAAACAACAAATTCGAAGTTTCACAGAATCAAGATCCTAAAATACAGCAATACAAAGGAAATGTTTGACAAGTATATGATCTACCTACAACTTTTCATACCTATAACTTTACAGTTTAGACTAAACAGCTAGCCATATGCTCACTGAATTCTTCTTTTTCAACTCTAGTCCTAGTCCTTTTTTTATGTACAGAAAGGAAGAATCGAATCTACTAGGCGCATGACCCCTCTTTTCCATAACATTGAAATAAAAAGCCAAGGATGAATTGCCACCAGGCTTGGACCAGAGGTACTAAAAGGTGTTATGTGATGTTTCTACCATCGCTGGCCGGAAGAACCTCCTTCCCCTACCTGAGCAGACTGAGCCTGATATTTCGATTCCTGAAAGCTGATTTGTTTTCCATAACCATTACCATTCGAGTAAGAATTCTGATGCTCAGCCAAACTTCTATCCTTGTGCCACTCTGGAACATCAGCAGCATTGGACAGTAAAGGTTCAGAACCTGATGAATGCACAGACTGCAAAGGAACAGCAGAACCAGAACCATCTCCCTTTGAAGTACCAGCATCTGACTTTTTTGCAAAACGCCCTCCAGAAGCTCTTGCCCTTTTCAAGGCATGCTGATGTCTCGACTCGTGAAGATATGGCTGTATTACGAGGAAGACAGAAAGTATCAACAACTGAGGATGAGTAAGCAGAATAAACCGAGCATATGTTGCATATCATCAGCATAACATTCGTGCAAAATCATGTCAGCCAATCCTGTGACTTCACAATAAAAATATAGCAGTGGAGAAACTGATATTGGTTATTAATAGCCCAAACATTGGCATAAGGAACTCCTTTCACCAAATTATACTTATGAGTGGTGTATTTGACGGATCAGTTTAAAAAGGTGAATTGACCGTGTTCTACACAGATAAAAGTAATATCAGATTTTACCTTTCATTTCCTCCTACTTAAGTAACATAAAATTCTTTAACAGTTTAATTTTTTTTAAAGAAAAGTGAGCTCAGCCAAAGAGTGGGTACATCTCCAATCCGGGACAACGGAATATCTCCAGAACAGCCAGGCACATGTAACAAAAATATGCTGCTAAAAAGGTGCATCATGCATTCTTTAGATAACAGGAGAAAAGAACACCCAACAAGCAGCCCAGTGGATGAGGCATATACTAACCTTTCTCACTTTTATCAGCTTCTTTTCAAGTTCTGCTTTCGCACGTGACTCTCTTCGCCGCAAAATACCATGATACTGCTTGGCATTGACATAAACAGGCTCTTGAGCCATTTCATGAGGCAAAGGCATCCTCGGATGATGCATATCAAGTACATGAGGAGGGACCTGTATAGCACCACCTTCAGTCAAGATCTTAAAAAATCTTGTGCTCAGCCACCAACCAGCCCCAGGCATAACTATGTTATAATGGAATTTTTTTTTGTATTTTTTTTAATGATGGATTTTTCTTCAGTGGCGATGTTTTTCAAGGTGGTTTCCTACTTCCTAGAGTCCTAGGCATATCAAGCAAAGAGATCTTTCTGGAACTGATTGTATCTATTTGTTAGTCGAAATAGAAAAAACAGAAAAGAGCTCATTTAAAAGACAAACAAAAGAAGCTGCATCCGGAGTACTATTTATACTAGCTGTCCTATGAAATCTAATCAATGATTTAAATGAAAGGGACATGCGCACTGGACGCCACTGATTCTAATTCAATTGAAAGAAGAAAGAACTCATCCCAAATTGAACAATAATGTTGTAACATGTATGATTGCAAGAAGGATAATTAGCAAGTCACCTGGAAGTTGGCAATACAGAGAAAGTGAGTGTCTCTAAACTAAAGCTAACTACAAGAAGATATCAGGGTTAAGCCAACACATACAAAGACTACGTTTAACCACCTGCCAAAGATATATCAAACAACCACCATGAAGCAGCTTTCTATGTTTAGATATCCCTAACGACATAATACACTCAGTTCCAGAGGTATTCAATAGTATAAATTGGCAGAAAAGTAAAATTTTCCTCTCAACACATCAGATCTTAAAAAAAGTGATGGGGGAAAAACAGGAAAAATGAAAGTTATGAATTCAAACCACACGCATACCATAGGCTGACCAAAAGGTGCCAGTATTCCACCATAGTATGGGTCAACATACAGATTTGGAGCACATGCCTGCATGCCAATTACAGAATAACATCAAAATCAGAAAGGAAAAAAAGTGAGATAACCCAACAAGCAAATCAAACTTCTCAAAACCCATAGAGTCAAACATACTCACCATGGAGTGCGCAACAAGTTCAAACTGTGGGGGTTGTGTTATGCACCCATCACCCTTTGGAGGTATGGCAGATGCCATTGGCTGTAAATTCTGATCTACTTGCACATAACTCCCATCTAACTCTGAACCAAGAATGCAGAGCATTACTTAAGTAATTTATAGCCATTAACATCATAAAAGATATATATTGTTTCCCATCTCTACCACAGCACTTCCCGCGTCAATAATATGTCACCTTCTTTCCTCTTTATGGAAAAGATTTAAAAGAAGAAAGTAACTAGGCAAATGAAGCATCATGACAGAATTCCAGTCCATAACAACTATGCCTCAAGCTCAAGCAAATCAGGATTGGTTATATGAATCCTCACTGATCATATTGCTCCTTCCAAACCAATATTATTCAACACAACCGTAACAAATATTCATATATTATTAGTTGAAAAAAGAAGTAGAGTACTTGTCAGAAAGAGACTAATGAAGAAAAACAGGTCAAATCACTCTGTCAATGACCATACTGCTTTATCTTTAGCACCTCTTTAGATTGAATAGAGGAACGCATGGTGTTTTGGTGGAAAGAATAACTACCCTCAAATATAGGTATTTAGGCCTACTGGCAGTTTCATGCAATTTACAGGATACATTTGATGAAATACGCCTGACTGACTTTATAGCTCACTACAGGAGTAACTTTGTATAGGGGAGTCTCCCCTTGTTGTTTTTGTACAGGAGGGCCTCTCACTTTTTAAAGTTCAGCACTAGCGTACAGCTTGACTATATTTAGCTATCAATAAAATTTATTTACTAGGAAAAAAAAATAGTAGAGATACCTGAATGCTTAGGTATGGTACTTTGTGATTTTTCAGGAGTATCATCAGCTTCCTCGTTGGATCCACCATCAGACTGTGATAGGCCATCCACAGCTTGTTCGGGTGATGGTGAATCTGATGGACTTCCCCGCATCAGTCCAAGAGAAACAGGATTATTACCAGCAGTATTCCACCAAGGTTCTAAAGTGGAATTAGGAACATTATAAGTTCTGGCTTCCCCACAATTTGCACTTTTGGACTCTGATTGCATGCTTCTCTAGTTCTAGTAAGTTTAGTTCTTCGTACAATGTTCTGGCAGATAGACAGAAAGCAAAGCAACTCAGTTAATCAAGTTTAAGGAATCTACAATTATTCCAGAAGCACATTGCTATAAGGTTTCATATCCTACCAAAAGGATCTGAAACTTTAATGAGGATGCATGAGATGAACAAGACTAATATTTAACAATCATAACATTTACTTCGACTTGAACAACATGTTTGTGTCTTTTTTTAATTCCTTTTTCCAAAGGCAATTGTTCTGAACCTTTCATTTCTAATCGTGAAGAACAAGAAAGCCAGAAATCAACCGTCTATGAATTTAGTACAACTTGCAATTAAAATAACTGATTTCAGCATCAAATACACATAATGCCTATATAAAACTAACTTCTCAAAGTTGAGATTTTTCTCATTGTTATCACTTTGTCCTCTGCTTTTTTGAAGCACAAACTTCTCTATACTACATTGCTTCACCTATGAAGTGATAACTTATCATCTCATCGCTTAGCTTTAAGGGACGAAGTAATCTCTTTTAGTAACATTATAACACTTCATAGATATGTCATTATACTGGAGTTTCCTTACTCCATAAACAAGTTATAGTACATGCAAGAAGACAGTTTTACTTTTTAACTAGATTTACACCAAAGATAAACTATATATGAAAAACAAAACAGAGCTAGGAAGGATAGACTCAAAGTATAGAACCATTTTCCCCCATTTCTGCAACTGTTTTCCTCATATCTAGTTCCCCCAAGACCTTTAAAAAAACTAGGAAGGATAAATTCAAAGTATAAAATCACTTTTTCCCATTTTCTATGATTTCTTTTCCACTGTTTACCTCATATCTTGTGCCTCAAGACCTAAAAGCTATAGCAACTTAAATGCATACCCCCATCATCCACTACACCACCACCATTCAGTGACGAAACAGGATTATGACTAACGTAGAACCAGGACAATGACTAACGGGATTCAAAATGTAAAGAAGTAAAACATACGAAGAAGCAAAAAGGGCTCAACAACACCTACACATATACACAAAAAAATAATTTTGATTTTGTATATGTAGTGTAATCTTTCGACCCTTGTGATACCTTACCCTAACTCCACCCCTGCCACCACCACAAAAAAAGGAACTTTAAAGATATACTCCAGTCCACAGTACAAACCATATGCCCCTATTACTAAAATTAGGGGAAAACTTATCAGACTTCAATCCATCCCCATTAAAAAAAAAACTTAAGAAGTGACATTTTCCCTCTGAATTCACAGTAATTCCAATAAAAAGAAACACCTCAACCCACCACACCGCTCAAAAAAACATCTTTACTCATAAAATCAACCCACCAAATAATTACCAAAAAAAAAACGAATCTCATTCCATACAATTAACATAAACATCAGGATTCACATCAACTTTCGAAATCAAAACTACACCAAATCAACCAATATTTTAATTTTCCAATGAAGATGGTGTGTTCACCATCCCAAACAGAGAAAAGGGTATCTCCAGATTGTTAATCCATTGAACAATCAAGAATTGGACTAAAAATTCACAGAATTGATCAATTTCAAAAAAAAAAAAAAAACTGAAAACCCCATAATCCAAAAACACAGATAATTGTACATGAAGGAGCTGAAAATTGAGAATTGAAAGAAGAAAAAAACTTACCAGGTGAAAGGGAAGAGGCAGAAGAGAGAGTAGAGTGAACAGTGACTAGTGATTGGTGAAGAAGAACATAAAAGATTTTGGGGAAAAAATGAAAGAGGAAAAGAAAATTAATTTGTTTTATCACAAATTTATTTTTGGAATAAAAATGATAATCAAATTTTCGGAGTAACGATAAAATTAATTTTATGTGATTTGTAAATTACGAATTTGAGTTATAAAATTAGTCACTAGTATTTTATTTAATACTATGATTTTTGTGTCACACTTTTTTTGTGTGCGATCTTTTTGAATAGCAATAGGCGATATGGTATAATTTGATACGATACGACATTTGAAATGTAATATCGTAATTTTGATATTCAATTTTTAAAACTACAAAATATATCATTATTAGACATTATCATACCAAATATCGAATAATAATGTGTATTATACAGCATATCAAATATCATAATATCAAAATTATAATTTAAAAAGTTTATGTATAAAATAATAATTCGGTATATACTATATTATACCCACATGATTGATGTTTTTTACATTCAACTATATTTTCTTTAATTTCTTTATCTTGAATTATTTATGTTATTTTAAAAATAAATTATTTATTTATTTTAAAATCTTAAGACAAAATTAAGTATTATTGTTTGCTTAATAATAATCTTGAAAACCATAAACATTAATGTGAACAAAGCTAGAGATCAAAGTATAAATTCCACTAAACTCAATAATACTAAATCAAACATAATATTGTATTAAATAAAATTATTTAATATGCATAAATTATCAATTAAAAAGTTTTCATAAGACATAAATATACAAAATATAAAAAATTCTTAAGAAGGGTATAAAAGGAAAACAACAAGGAGTAGTAATTTAGATAGTCATACAAATATATATAAATAAAAAAAACACAAATAATAATGTACTTTTAATATTCTATATTGACACATATTCATATATCATATTTATAAAGAGAAATAACTTTTAAAATCGATTTGATATAATATTCTACAAGATTATTATTGCAGATATCAAAGAAAACATTCTTTTAGAAAAAAAATACATATACTTTTACTCTTTTGATTATTAATAATTAATTTTAATCATTGTGATTTTTATTAAAAACTCATAGTTTTTCAATTAATTGAAAGAATACTTTTGATCTCTTTTCTTGTGTAAATGGTATGAATTCAATAGAATATTAACTCTTAAATTATATATGTGTCAATATTAATTTTTTCTTAGTATTACTTTTATTATAAATTTTAACTAGTTTGAATTAATTTTCAGAATTAATTAAATTGACTAAGGAGAAGCGGATCTGACAACCATTTAATAATTATAATAATAATAATAAAAAGAAGAAGTTATTTTTGAGTTAAATGATAATAAATTACTCTTCTATCCTGATTTATATGGTACTATTTGAATTTTAACAAGTCAAACTCATAAATTTTAATGGTTAATTCAGATATAAAAGTTTTGAATTTTTTAAAAATGAAACTTTAGATATTTGAGAATAATATAAAAATTGTAAGATAGAATAATTGAAAATATAATGATTGAAAAATATTTTGTTAAATTCTCAAAATTCGATGTGTTACGTGAATTGAAATGGAAGTACTCATGGCCCGTGACAGAGTCACCATATTTTTAGGGGGTTCATCCGAACCCTTCAATGAAAAATTATATTATTTTTATATAATTAAAATAAAATTTTAAATATATATAATAGATATCTAACCCCTTTCAACTGTTTAAAGTCTATTTCTTTCGATTATAAATCTTTTATCGAAAATTCTAATTCCGTCACTCCTCATATGCGTGTTCTCCAATAACGGTTGTTTCCTCAGCCACGTTGCACTATTGGTAGGAAGAACAATATTTTATAAAGCAAAAATAGAAATTAAAAATTAAAAATCATTTATTTTTTATAAAATATTCTATTATAATGTGATGGAATGTAGGACCCATGGATTGATCCATTTAACCCTTGTAAAATGTTTTGGTAATCCATTTAGACTCCTTAAGTTTTCGTTCTGATCAGTTTAGTCCGGGTCGGTTCGATATTTCGGAACCCTAAATTGCAAAAATCTATTTTTTTTCCTATGCTCTCTTAATATCTGGACACATTAGTTCACCTCTATCAAAAACATTATAACATAATTTATGTACGATGCATATTACTGGTGATACATAATCCTAATTATTTTAAATTTATCAATATAAATTTGATTTATAATTATGTATATGATATATAACTTATATATCGGGCGAAGAAGCAACACACTCACGAATTATAAAATCTCAAACTTTGAGTATGCATACCCAAACACACCCTAAGTTTGAGATTTTTTCTTTCACTCAACATTATTATCTTTGTTCTTACTTTTTGTTTAAACTATAATTTAAATAAAGGGATAATACATAATATATCTATGTCCTCTTATTTTGACTGTACACAAATAAATACTTAAATTTATATAAAATTAAATAAAATAAATACATTCGTTCTACGTGATATTTTACATGACAATTTTGTTTCCTATATAAGGCGTCGTCCTACGTGTATTATACTATTATACCACTTAAGACGTGTATGTCTACTTGTTAAATTGTATACAAGTTTAAATATTTATTTATGCACATTCAAAGTTGATAGACATAAGTATCAACTGAAACCAAATTAAATAACATATTTATGTATTATGTCATAATGTCTTGAATAAATTTAAACAATTTATATTCTTCATCTTTTACTTGCAATTTATGATTTTTAATACTTGTGAGATTGATACCATGATATTAGGATACACAATTAATATTGCTTACATATTCACAAAAATTATACATGCAATTTTGTAACTTTAATTCTATATTGTAAGTATAGGTGTTAGGATAATTTGAGTAGGCTAGTAGTAATCAACATATTGTTATGAGTACTATTAAAATGTTAATTAATTACTCAAATAAATCAATTAATAATAATAAAAATAAGTGAAGAATTCAACATGATTGATGGTTTACCTCTCTCTTTGAATTAATATAACCTAAATAAAAGCTTACCTACTTTTTTTTTTCTATACAATTTCAAAATAGTTATAATTAAATACAAACAAATTTGAATTTATAACTTACATTTATTTGATTTAGTAAATGGTTAATCATAAATCTTTATGAATATAATGTTTGATCCTATTATACTTTATTATTTATCGACCTCATCTATTTTTTTGTACGTTTCGAAATAACATATTTGTCCTTATCATTAAAAGTGCTTTATCGTAGAATAAAAAGTTTCATGTATCAAAATATTCAAGTTTACGCATTTATATTTTATTATTCAAATTTAAATTACCATCAAATTAAAATTTTGTTATTGTTAGTAGATTTTCACAAAATGAAATTTCCTCTCAAGGTAGATAAAGATTATAACCAAAGAATAAAAGAGGGAAAATTGATTAATTATGGTTATTATTCGTATAAATTTGATCATTTTTAACTTTGACATATTCTTTATCAAATAATAAATAAGATAATAATTTAACTTTATTACTCTTAATTATAATATAAATTATTTCACTCCTTGAAAAATGAATTGATCATAATTAATACTTGATAATAAAAGCAATCAAAATATAAAATAATAAATTATCTCTAGTTTTTTTCGTTCCATTTCAATTTGTTCTTATTTCTTTACTTTAATCTCTTTTAAATTTTTTTTGACGATTCTGTAGTTTTAACTTTTTGCATGATATATTAAAAATTGATCATAAAATTTAAAAAATGCTTTAATACATTCTATCATTACAAGGTTCAAAACAAATTCTTATCTTTTAATTAAAATTCTGTATCAAATTAAAATTAGACGAATAAATTAAAATTGAATAATAGATGATTAATGGATTTATTTTTGTTGTTACAAAGTATAATGATTTTAACCCATTTATCACATTGCAGTAATGATAAAATATAGTAATTGCAACCACCAATATTTATTTGTGCCGTCACAATGTATAATGAAATTAAAACCATGTGTCAGATTTATATTATAAGTGTCAACATATAATAAATTGAAAGAATTGTGGGTTGTTAAAGTCTTAACGTTACACTTTAATAACATTAAAAAAAAATTCTTAATTAATATCGTGGATATAAAATTTTCATTCAAAAAATTTGACGAATAAAAAAGTTTCAAAATTAAAATTTAAGTATGGAATTTCAAAGTGAATTTTGAATCCCCTGAATTATTTGAGTATATTTAATTGCTAACTTAGCGTTTAAGGGATTCAAAAATATCTCTCTCTATATATATACATACACGAAGATTGTAAATGAGCTTTAATAGTAACAAAAATTATCAATTATGTATAAAATGAATAGAAGAAAATGACTTTTTAAAAGTTTTTAATTTTTATTTGTATAAATAAAAGACTCTTATAGAAAAAGGAAAAAAGTCTGGAAAATACTTAAATTTGATCGAAATTGTTGTTACATTGTTAAATTTTATGGAGGACCTTTTTACCTCCTGCACTATTCAATAGTGTATTTTAACGAGATATATGTGTCAACATGGACACATAACTGTTTATGATTATGCAATATTTTTATATGTCCACATGAGCGCATATATACCTTTAAAACACATTATTTAAATAGTGCATGGGATAAAATGTCCTTTCGAAAATTTGGTATCGTTACGACAGTTTCAATCAAAATTCAAAAATATTTCAGATCTTTTTCCGACCTTTTTCCCATTATTATTATTTGACATTAACTAATTATCTTAAATCAAAACTTGATCATAAAATTGAATTCACAAGCTATGAGTATAAAGTCATTCATATTTGAAATTCATCTTAAAATTTTACTTTGGTTGATTTATAGTTGATTTTAGATGGTTGACTTTGACTTTTTACTTTTACTTTGATTTTTGATAACTGGTTGACTTTGATTTTTTCAAAATTGAGGAAATGAACCACCTAAAGTACTAATATATTTATTTTTGTAATTAATGAAAAATTAATTTTCTTTTGTCTT